TATGCATCTATATAAATTGTTTTGAACTTCATATAACTTCAGTAAGTGATATCTAACACAAATGTTGTTCACTTCTTTTATATTTTCCAAGTTTGCAGTGTAAACATTTTCGAAGTATGCCCCAACGATTTCCTTAATATTCTAGGTTTCACTTGTTATGTCTCTCTTTTCATTTCTGATTTTGTTAATTTGGATATTCTCTCCCTGCCTTTTAGTAAGTTTAGATAAATGTTTGTCTACCTTGTTTTTCCTCAAAGAAGCAACTTGAAGTCTCATTGATTGTTTGCATTGTTCTCTTTGTTTCTATTATATTGATTTTCATCCTCTATTTGATTATTTCCTGAATTCTTTGTAATATGTGTATCTGCTTCTTATTGTTCTAGAGCTGTTCATTGTGCTGTTAATTCTCTGGTATGAGAATTCTCTAAATTCTCCTTCCAGGTTCTTAGTGCTATGAGTCTTCTCTTAATACAGCTTTAATTGTGTCCCATTCGTTTCGGTAGGTCATGGAATTATTTTAATTGAATTCTAAGAAGTGTTCAATAACTTTATTTCTTTCTTGCCTCATTGTTAATTCAGTTAGGAGTTTTTTAGTTTTCATGATTTTATAGGCTTTCTATAGTTTCTGTTATTTTCAAATGCAAATTTTACTCACAGTGGTCTCATAGTATATAGTGTGTTATTACAATTGTTTTAATCTGTGGATACTTGATTTGTAACTGAGTACATGATCAATTTTGGAGAAGGTTCCATGAAAAAATGAGAAACAAGTATAACCTTTTGTGTTTGGGTGATACATACTATAGATTTATGTCCTGTGGTCAATTCCGCTATAATATTTGATAATTCCATTATTCTTCCATTTAATTTCCTTCTGGATGGCATGTCCATTTGTAGGAATGAGTGGCTGAAGTGTCCCAGTATAAATGTTTGGGATTTGGCTTTTGATTTAAGTGTTAGTCATGTTTCTCTTACAAATATGGGTGCCGTTGCATTGGAGAATAAATGTTAAGAATTAAAATGTCATCGTGGTGGATATTTACCTTAATAAGTATAAAATATCCTCCAAATTATTTTTTGAATAATTTTGGTTTGATTTCTCACCTTTACATTTAAATTAACCAATCTTTATTAATCTTTGTATTGTCACAGGTCTATGGCTTTACCTGTCCTCGAGCACCTTGCTCCTTTGGCATCTCAGATGTGTCTCTCCACTGTGCCCTTCTTCTTCCCCTCTGTAGTTTAGTTTGTCCACCTAACATCATCCAGTCAGGGTTTTGGTCAACATGCTTCTTTATTAATTAATCAGAACATAGTTTACACGGGGTATAGAAATATTCCAAAACATTTCCCTCTTTTTTTGTCTAAATTAATAGGAAGGTTTTAGCATTAACATAGTAAAGCTATATAAAATGGAAAAAAGTTATTAAGAATTACAGTACCAATACCCAATCCATTTGTGTTTAGCAAAAGTAGAGAAAATAATTATGTAACATATCTTAGTCTAAAGTTTTGTATCTAATTTACTTTCCATTATAACTAAGGAATATTCATTTATAACTATTTATTTTTCAACTCCATCAAATCCCAGAAGGATGAAATATTACTCAATGACAGGGACATCAGGCTATATCAACCAAAGATCCTCTGCAACGATGGGGCATCCATCGTTCCCATACAGGCCTGGAATATCCTACAAACTTTATTGTGAACAGAAGATTCTGAAAGACTTCCTACGTTGTGTTGGCAAAGATTGGCAGTAACCACTTGTTGCATTCTCCTGATCTAGTTTTTACAGTGACTGTCAGCAATGGAAGCAAAGGCCGTTGCTTTGCCCACATTGCTAGCTTTAGTCATTAAAAAGAAAAAAAAAAAACTCCATGCAGTTTCTTTGATGTTCACCATCTATTCTGAAGTAGATTAGTGCTGCCAGGACAGACATATCTCACTTTCATGAAAAACTTTAATTATTAAAACATTTAAAATGTCATATTTTTTTGTTCTTTCAATGTTCTGAAGATTGCCTATCTCTTTAAAATACATGTTTGTATACCTAGAACATCTAACTAACAAGACTATAAATTTGATTATTATAGATGACTACTGATCTGTATTGCTTAATTATATATTTATTATTGAGTTGCACCAAAGTTACCTAAAGCAATAGTAGTAGTATACATACATTATAACAAAAGTAACTTTAAATTTGTATAAATAAAGTAAAATTCATTCCAATATAAAATATTTAGCGTTTAACAATTGTTTACAGAGATTAATTATTCCATAATTTACACTTTTTCCCCATCATAATAATGTAACCATTTCCCATCATTTCTATGTCATATCCCCTTTCTTATTTTAGAAAGAGATTATGACCAAATTCAATTTGTAACCAACCATTCTTAAATGAAAGCAAACATTTATAACCAATATTTGGGGACTGTAGATCTAGATTTCTAGACTACTTCCTGCTGTTTGGTGGGTGCTGGTAAATTATCCAAAACTCGGAGAAAATTGGGATCATTGCTAAGTTTTGGCTTGAATATTTTGTGAGGCAGGATCACTACAGCTAGCAATATTAAAACTATTTTGGATGTTGGATCACCCTCAACATTTTATTGGTGTTTTGTCCCCTTGGTCTGAAAATATGTAACCTTGTAAAGGTATATATATATATATATATATATATATATATATATATATATATATATATATATATATATATATATATATATATATATATTTCATAAAGGATATATATATATATATATCCTTTATTAAAAATATAAACTGTGCATTATACACAAACTAGCCAAAAATAATTTTTTGTTTTATGTTGGGGCAGGTAAAATATACACCATTTTTCTTGTATTTACTTTAGGTTTGTTTTCCCATCTCTGTAGTCAGGAATTTAGGGGATCTTTCTTGTTCAAACCTGATTTTCGTAGACTCAGGATGAATTCATTTGCTCTTATTTTCTGTGGAAACAAAAGCAAATACTCTCCCACAATTAACATACCTTTTGACTTAAATTTTGAAATCAAGATAATTTTAAATTATATGAATTGTTTTAATTTAATAGCTTTCACAATCAAATGTCTCTCAGATGTTATGATCCACACATAAACATTCAAACAATCTAAACACAACATACAGCATAATATAGAATCTAGACTATTTGTGTATTTTTATCTGTATATGTCTTAGCATAATTTTTATTATTCGTATTCATTTTTAGGGATTTTACTTAATTAATTTTAAAACATTTTAAATCTATGACTGTTTCTATTCTTTCTCTTCCTCTCCCAAGCCTACATACATTTTTCAAACATAGTGCGATCCACTTAGAGTACATTTTGTCTAAATTTGTCCTTACTGTGTATCTCTAACCCTTTCTGTCTTTATGAGCAAAAAACCTTAATTTGCCACCTACCATGTGGCTGGGAGTTGCCTCTCTGTACCTCATTCTGGGTGAGAATGTGATAACTTGCCATGCTGCAACTCAAAATCACATGTCACAGCCAGGGGAAGCCAATCTCTATATAATGGCCCACATGAGACGCATGGATGATAATGCTGGTTTTGTCACTGTTTTTGTGTGTCTAGAAGACTTTTTAAGACCTCTCACACTGTGGGACCCACTGTGGGTGCCATATGTAAATGGATATTTCTCTCCCACGTGCCACTTCTAAAATTACCACTCAGAGGCTTCTATTATTTAAAAAATGCTCAGCCAATAGCTCAAGCTTTTTACTAACTAGATCTTATATTTAAATTAATCCATATTTATTAATCTTTGTATTGCCACATGTCCTGTGGTTTCACCAGCTTATAACATCTTGCTTCTTGAGTGGCTCACTCCCACTCTGTCCTTCATTTCCTCCTCCATAATTTGGTTTTATTGCCTAACCATATCTTGCTTGGCTATTGGTCAGTCAGCTTTTTCATTAAACCAATCTGGGCATAATTTATACAGTGTACAGGAACATTCCATGACACTTAGAAAAGGGGTGGCCTATGAGTGGGGATAAGAAGGACACCAAGATGGAAGGAAGCAGAGTTTTCCACAAATACTGCATAGATAATCACCTGGAAATGGGGGCATTGAGAGAGGATAGGCGTCAGCAAAATTTTCATATAAAGCTGTGAATAAAACTGATTAATTGGCCTTGAGATAACAGAGGTAGATGTGAGAATCTATAGATAGCCTACTTGCTTTCCTGGTCAGAGTGACCTGTGGTTTCTTATGGAGTGACTTCTTGATTTGTAGGTGAGGGGAAAGCAATGTGTAGGTAGAGGGAACTTTGGAGAATAAGACCTATGTTATACACATTATATTGGGGAGTTTTGGGGAGAGACTACAGCAGGTGTTCTGCACAGAGATGAGGATGAAACTAGGAGACTAGACTACAAGGAAAATGGAGAGGTAAAGCTCTGCATTGAGCCTACTGCTTTCAAGACCACCTTTGCCTATGGGTTCTTGGGAAATGCTTGATGGAGTTGAGGTGTTAGACAAAGCAATGATGTATGGTACAGATGTTTAAGGGTATCACTGAGGTTCACTAGAGGTGAAAGTCGCTGATGTAGGTGTTTTGATGCAGAGCTGTGGAAAATACTTGTGGATGGAACTCAAAGGAATGGAGATTAAGCCAAAAATATATAGTTAGTTTATTTTTTCCTTGGCCAGAACAATCTGTGGGTTCCCAAGTAGGGCCAATTGAAGTAGGGCATGGGGATAATGCTATGAGTTGGAAGAGCAGGATAGGAGGAGAAGCTCTTTGGGATCCACTCTAGATGGGGTTGGGGGCCGACACGGATATTTCCCAGCAGAAGTTTGGATCAGACTTGGGGATTGGATCTGGAAGAGGAGTGGAAGAGGTGAAAAAAAATGTTGTTAGTCTACCTACTTCCTTGGCAGGAGTCAGAAAAACAAGGATAATCAAAAACAGAAAAATTTAATTATTCCAAAAATAATTTGCTCTCTTGATTTTATTTTCCAGGGATAGAAAGTTTCCATGTAAGAAGCAAAGCCATCCATCAGATTCCTTGCCTTTTGAAAAACATTGTAACTTTTCATTATAAATGCAATTTTTCCCAGGAAGCTTCATTACTCACCTCTGCTGTATGCTTTTTCAGTTTCACACAAGTCTCCCTTCCAACCATTCAACACATTCTTTTCAGTTATTGGCATGGTTGTTTACTTTCAATTAAAAGTCACCTGAAGCTGTGATACAAGTTTAGAGCTAAAAGAACCTTTATGATCCCATGTGTAGTGCTTGGATTCTATGCAAAGTCGTCCTTATTCCAAAGTTTTGTGTTCTTATGTCCAACCCTAGAAGTGAGCCGGTTGTGGCAGTGCACAGTTATAATGCCAGTCTACTTGGGTCTGCGGTAAACAGATTGTGGATTTGATGCCCATATAAGTAACAGCATGAAAGCATAATTCAAAACAAAATTAAAGTTTGGCTGTAATGCTTACTAAAAATTATTGAGAACATTTTTATGAAAGTGTTTCAAACCTGTCTTATTCTCAGTTACCGATAGGAAAAGGTATCATTTGGCATAATCATGAACCTCCATTCAATTATTTGTGCATATGGCCTTCATTCAACTTGGCTGCCTTCTAGAAGTATTTCTATAAGTATCTGTAAACATCACAGGGTAGGTTGGGTATGGTGGTGCAAACCATTAATGATAGCTCTTAAGAGGAATTGACTATTTCTGTGTGAGGTCCTCTGGTCTCCACAGCAATTTACATCACACTACATAGGACTCCCCCCTCTATAGGACATAGCACACTCTGTCTCCAGACAAAATATCCCATTGTAGTTAGTAGGTGGGTAGGCATACACCTGTGAATATAACAATACACAGATGAAGACAAAATGATCAGAAGTTTAAGGCCCTCATTCAGTACAATGTAAATTTGAGGACAGTCTAAGTTATATGAGACCCATCTAATATCAACTCCCCCATAAAAGAAATCCCAGCCTCTGTATTTTAGGGGCCAGAGATCAGTCATATTCTAACACACTAAATATAAAAATGTTGTGTGTGACTTTTGCCCTCCATACAAGGCCTGTTTGTTTGCTAAAACCCATTCTATACTTTCTCATTTTGTGGTGCCATTTTTTCATCATGTTTCTCTTTCCATCGTCCATCTGTAGTTACCTTCTCTGCATTTGTTCTTTCTAAGCTCTCTAATTATTGACCTCATTTTGTTTTGTTTCTTCTTTGAGAATACAAGGGGAACCATAGAGAAGATCTGTGACTTCCTAGGAAAGAAATTGGAGCCAGATGAACTAGATCTGGTCCTCAAGTACAGCTCCTTCCAAGCCATGAAAGAAAACAAAATGTCAAATTTTAGTCTTGTCCCAGAAGATGTGGTTACTAATGGTTTGGTCCTCATGAGAAAAGGTGAAGAAACTCTTTAGTTCTAAAATATATCAGAATCTGTGGTGGGTTTGTTGTTCATATGAGACTCTAAAATAATTGGGAATATGTCAGCAGTCACTGCTCATTACTCAGAGTTTTTCACAGACCTTCCAGGGGGATCTCTCCATGGTAATGGCATGGACTTCAGAAAATGAAAATATTTATTTGGGGGGGGATGATCTTGGGATTTTAGAGTGTTGTGTCCAATATCCCCAATGATAAATGAGAAAGTAGGCATGTTTTTGTGAGGCTTGCGTAGGCTCCCAGTAGCATAACCCTAAAGTAAAAGGAAAATAATTAATGAAAAGAACTAACGATATATACATACATACATATATACATACATACATATATACAATATATATAATTGCATGATAAGCACAAATTACACTTCCCTTCACTGCTGAAAAAGATGTTCAGCAGATCAAAACTGCTGATCCACCACAGGCAAAGTCTGCCACCTTACAAGGATTAAGAAAATTGTCCTCCAGGGTTAACATATGATGGCATTTGCCAAGCAAAATTCTGATTGCTTCACGATCATAGTTACTGGCTTTGTTCTGAATTGTCTCTCTTGGAATAGGAATAGCCATCTTCTCTATGTCTGTGCCACCAGTTTACACTAGGAGCAAATTGTGGGTGTGGTTTCATATCTGTGCAGTTGAGGAGTGACTACCAGACTACACACACCGAATTAGTGAATAATTGGTGAGGTGAGACTCAAGGTTGAAGAAGGAATGAGTTAGATGTGAAGTATTTGGGGATGACTAAAAAACCTGGGTATAAACGCAGAAGTGGAGAGTTATGGGTTTAATTTTCCTCTTCCATTTTTTACATGCTTCAGCCTTAAACTTCATTCCCTCTCCAACATACAGTGTGAGGATCAGGTCATAAGACTGTAAAAAATCAGGAATATACATAGAGATAAGTAAGTTAAAGTCATTAGTGGATTTCATTTAATTCAGTACTCCTGGTGTCCTCACAAGAGGAAATTATCCTCAGATTTGGGCACACAAAAATGTCAACTCAAGAAAATGGTCATCTATACAATAAGGACTGCGGCCTATCAGAGGATCCACTGCCATTGACCCATAACCTCAGACTCATGTGCTCCTGGTTCTGTGGTCATAGAGTTCTCTGTACTACAACTGAGAAACTCAATTAGAAAAGACATTTTCCATTCTTGGTTTTCCTGTAATGAATCAAAATTGGGTAGAGATAAGAGAGTATGTGTACATAAATGGCTCCAATGAAATGCCAAAAGAAATAAAGTGGATTGCTTACTAGAGATGAGCTATTGAATGTAACAATATTTTTTATCTGAGACACAATGGAGCAGATGCAATAGAATTCGGGACACAATTTCATGAGGAAAACTATAATTACCTCTTTTCTAGTTATCTTCTTCCAGAATGAATCTGAATTTGGATTTTACTTTAGTTTCTTTTAAAACATAGTATATTTTCATGCATTATATTCTTTAGGAGGGTATATATCTGTTATTTCAGAACAATGGGTGTGGCTCTATAAGTCATATGTGATTTAATTATCATAGTGATTATATATGACACCATTTTTTTTTGCATTTGAAGATAACTTTTATTCTGAGAAATTGTTTTCATTGTACTAACACTCACTGTAAGCCAAGAATACCAGAGGAAACCAGACCAATTGAGAGGAGACAAACTTCATCACACACCTCACCCTGATTCATGACTTCATTATAGAAGTTGCTGAGATGCATATGTTAGGAAACGTTTTGGAAAGAATAAGATGAGTGAGGAAAATTTTGATCTTCTTAATTTCTACATTAGACTGATTCCTTTTTGAATATGGAAGGTATGAGTAGATCAAAGATTAATTCTAAAATTTATTTCATTACTTACCTTTACATACCTAATCCTTAAATTGTAAAGCATGAAAAGTTGTGTTAAATGTTATACTTGCTTTAACCAGAGGAATTCTCAACTTGTTTTTGTTGTCCTTTAGTTGCTTTTCTCAGGACACCAGAAAGATACATTTCCTTGCCTCTAGAGAGATAATATGAAGAGCTACTATTTACCTGGGAGACTCCATTATCTGGCTAGACGGGATTAATTTAGTTTAAAGCTCCAATGAAAAATTTTCCACAAACAATTTTGATCATTCTGATTCAATATTTAGATACTGCAGAAAAAACAGATCAGAGAGATGTCCTGTTTAGTTGACATAACTTTTATAAAGACATTGTCACAATCAAGACACATGGGAGGAAATGTCTTCTGACAAACTTCAAAGGTTTTCACCCTCATTAATTCACAGCAGATATTTACTAGACAGTGTACTTGAGCCAGTAATCATTTTCTCTGGTGTACAAAAACGATATTAATCTGAGACACAGAGGGAAGAAGACCTATGGAGAAGCCCACTATCTACAGATCAAAAAAGCCTAGAGGGTATGGACAACATTTTATGAGACCTACAGCCTCTAAAACCAGGAGGAAGTTCCTTTCCAAGAAGTGTTGAGCCACTATGCATTAGGGTTATACTTCATGTGTGTCGCTCCAGAAACATGATTCCCTCATTAGGACTGATTCATTCCATTAGGCAGACATACTGAGTTTGCTCAGACTCTGGAAGCTCAGCATCTAGTCTGGCTTATGAGAATCAAGATTGGTATGGGATACAATAACACAACTTGTTCCAATAATGAAATTGAAAAGTAGAAATGGGCATTGATAGATTCCATTAGTAATAGATGACACTCTTACAGTCATCACAAGTAATGGTATATTATTTGAATGTGGTGTATCAATAATTACATTTCTTATAGTGTATAACACTGGGCATTTAAAGTTAACATATGTGACACACAAATATTGTATTTTGGTAAGGAAAACACATGACTACTATTGCTAGGCTTTTTGGCTTCAAAACCGCATACATTACTATAATGCTGGTAAGATCCCAAGGACTAATTCTTCTTCATCAGCAAAATGGCAACAAGGCCAATATATTCCTTACTCATTCATTAATCTATTTAATAATTTCATACTAATATGTTTTGTATGTTTGATACACTTTGACTAGTGAAGCCCTAGGGAATTTAAGAAATATTTTACTTTTCAAATGTATTAGATGCATATTTCAACCATGTTTAGAAAAAGGAAATGCATAAAGTGACTTAGCTGTAAAATAAAATACACAAAGGATGGGGCTGTGGAATTCTATATGGAAAAAAAGATATGAAGAGATGGTTAAAGTCACACAAATAATGATACAAAAGTAAAAGAAGTGACTATGTGGAACACTTCAGCACATCCTGGTGAAGGAACAACTAATACAATGTGAAAAATTGGACTACTTGAGATCTCTAATCCCAAATCTAAAGACTTCCTAGAATGTGGTTATGAGAACCAAGATATGGTGGTAAAGACTGTGGATGAAATCATCTTTATGCATCACCAAACTCCATACTAACTGAAAACCGACATCCTGGATTGCTCTCAGCAAGCTATATCTTGCTGAGAATGATTGAAGAATGTCTAGTGAGAAAAACAAATAATCTGGACATTAATAAATGTAGATCCAGTATCTATGTTGTTAGATTGTTTAGTGTATATGTTGGTATAGGAGATGGTTGACATTATTTACACAGAGGTACAAGTCTGTTTGCATATTTTCAAAGCATAAGAATTGTTCTCCACAGAATAACTGTAAGTTCTAATTTATTGACTGTGCAGTCCTACTTAAACAAATGGTAAAATCATGTGAATAAAGGAGTAAGAGCATATGTACAATCAACATTTACCGATCTATGTGTCTGTTTCACATTTTCTAGGCACAACTGGGGACTGGAAGAATCATTTTACAGTAGCCCAAGCTGAAGCCTTTGATAAAGTATTCCAGGAGAAAATGGCTGGTTTCCCTCCAGGGCTGTTTCCATGGAAATAAATCCTTAAAACTTCATAACCTTACATGAACACTAGTGTTTACTGAATTGGGTAGTTTTTTTTTTTCTAAAATGTATTAGTAGTAATAGTAGCAGTATTATTAGTGGCCATAGTAGTACAGTAGTGGTGGTTGTTTTATATGTATGTGTGTGTGTGTGTATGTGTGTGTGTGTGTGTGTGTGTGTGTGTGTGTACATTTCTGTGTGTAGTACCTTTAGGGATGAGAAGAATTCATTGGTTCCCATGAAGTTGACATTATGTGTGCTGTAAGCTCTTTTCTTTGCATCCTAGGAACTAAATTCAAGTTTTTTTGTAGGGGTAGTAGAGTTAACCTCTGAATCAATTGTCCAACCCTAAATATTGTAGTCTTGAGTCATGAAATGTTTGTTTGCTATACATAGACAATTAAGTTCAATGTGCTTCAAAGAATTGCAGCTTAAAATAACCCTTGTAATGTCTGAAATGCAAAATACTTTACAGAAATTTGTAGACAATTTTTGGTCTGTGACATTTGGGTGAAAAGTAAATAAATTGTATTTATAGACATTCAAACCTAATTTAACTATTCTATGGTAGAAGAGCTTTAAAACTTACATTTCTGTTAACAATTGTGTATTTGTATTTCAGTTTTATCCTTCTTTTTGGTAATTTTTACTGGGTGTATACAATAGCAGGTTTCATTATAAAACTTCTTCATACATGTACATCATTTTCATTTTCTCAGTATTGCCCTTCTACTGCCAAGTGCCATACATCCACTCATGTTAGTACTTTCTCCTCCCACATAGCACCTCTCTGCCTGGGGGTCCTATAGACACACTTATATTTAAATATGGATGTTCAGAATGGAGAAAATGATGCAATATTTTCTTTCCTTTTTACAATTAC